TTGTTCATATGCATTTTTAAGAATTAATTTGTTATAATAAAATTAAAATTATAATGTTTTAATTTTGACGCAACAATTTATTGAGTTACGTATGACCAAGTGATGGTAATAGTTAATAATAATAAATGTTTTATTGTAACGTGTGGTGGTAATAGTTTAAATAACTATATGGATTTCATAGGGTCTAACGACACTTACAGTGTACGATAATTCAATAAACAAAGAAATATAAATAAAAAATTTAGATAAATTTGGAACGAATACACTGAAGAATAATTTTTCGAGACAAAACGTCTGAATCTGGTTCGGGCTGAGGCAATACAGTATTGAGGGTCATGAAGGCTTGCAAAGTGTAATAAAATTTCCAGGGTCGTATTTAAAAAAATGAAGTTGATGGTCCTGGAGAGATGAAACGTTACATATAAAAATTGATTATGCCATTCGATAGGGGGCAAAAAGTGGCCATGAGAAAGTGTCGTTCTTTTTTCAATATCGCCTCAAACAAGGCTGAAATTAAACAAAGACGGATTTCCAAAATTTCGTTTTTTTTTTCAAATATTTCGAAAACTAATCATGTAAGCCTTGATTTTTTAGAGGCATAATGTTGGTCCCCTAATTACGCAACTTTGCCCGCATTTAAGCTACTTCGTAGTTCTTACCGTTTCCGAGATCCCTGTAGTGAGAAACGAATTTGAAACAGCCTGTATAACTGCAGATTTAAAAATATTAAATTATAAAAATAGTGCACTCTAGGAAGCGAAAAGAAAGTCTGGGTGCCAGAATTCCAATGCTGAACTCCTAAGTTTGAAGGTCACGTTTACAACTGTAGTAAAAACCACAAAATTGGCGCTTATAGCAAAATGTTTTTATATTCAAGTCGTAACCTTAACCAGATATTGACGTACATTTATTGACAACTAAACATGTTTGAGTAGCTCAAATTGATCTCATGTATCAAAAAATAATATATACACAATTAAATTGGTTGCTACTAAATCTAAATTGCAAAGTCACATATCGACTGCTTTATTATGTGCTGCATACTTAGAAGTTATATATATTTTATTTTAATTTGTTATTGGCAACATTTGATTAATTGGTCGAATAAGATCCATTGCTTTGTAAAAAATACATAGGTGATTTTTAAATTGTGAACTAAAAAATAACATATTCTGAGTATCAGGAAACTGTTAACGGTAAAAGAAAGTTAACATGTTTAAGTTTGTCGGTGGGCACAGGCAACTTTTTAGTTGCCTGCAACAGTCTAACAGGTGACTGCAATTTCTGTTGTATTAATGGTTATAGTATATAAATTTATGTAAATAATGTCCAATATTAATCGATGGGCACAGGCAACTTTTTAGTTGCCTGCAACAGTCTAGCAGGTTACTGCAATTTCTGTTGTATTAATGGTTATAGTATATAAATTTATGTAAATAATGTCCAATATTAATATCAATAAAATTTTTCTTGGTAATCTCATAAGATAGGATTTTTAGTCTTCTAGCAAGGCGGCCTTCACCAGTAATGACAAAAAAATACAAAGTCTGACTATATTGCAGTACTTCGGGTTTTTACAGGACGATAGTTCGGACATGTATAGAAATCCTTACAATAGGGTATATTTAACATTTCCATAGAACGTTAACTAAATATTAACCAGGTCCATGTTGCTAACACACAGTACTTTACGAGAAGCTTAAAATTCTACAGTCAGGAAGTTGAATAAAACTTTCTATTTAAATCTTTCACTTGACAATGAATGGACCTAAAATTTTCTTGTTTTTTTTTCTGTTTTTATGTTCACAAATACGAACAGCTTTTACAATGTTAATTTTAGTACTTCATATCATTTAGTTGCCTAATGCACGCCAGAAAGGCAATTAATCAGAAGAAGTGATTAAATATTTTGATTGCTCAACTAAAGAGATACCAATGTAGCGGCTTGCCTTAGGTAACATTGATTTGATCGACTTTAATTCATGTCTTAAACAAATGTAAAATCTTATAAAATGTATTCTATAGCTGCGATGTAAGTTTTTTTATTGTCAAACAATAAAAAAAGACCAAAAGCAAATCGAATAATAATACTTTTTTTAGCACGGGTTTTCCATCTTAAAAGTGTCACAATCTATAAAGAATTAATAAATTCTGTGAAGGGTAAAGACGGCTAAAACAAGTTAATACTTTTTTACATTTTTTGACCTGAAACCTATACCTACATGATCAACATGTGGAAAATAATGTCACTACATATTATTTATACTTCATATACATATACTTTACAAAATTCAATAAATGTCAAAACAATTTTTTTTTAATAAAGTCAATGTTTGACGGACAATATACAGCGTGTTTCAGAAAACATGGGCCAACGCTCAGGGGCAAATTCCTAACTTAAACACAAGATTATTTTTTCATATCAACATCGGTCCGATTTCGCTACTTTACATGAATTACAGGACAGGACTTACTTGCAAGCCCTTGGATTTAATCAAAGAAAAAATTGATTCTCAAATGAGATTTCTAATTTATAATCATTACATGGGTTAAATTCTAGCTCAATTTTGATCAAAAATTGACTTACTATTTTTTCATTTTGCCTTAAGTTTTCGGTATTTTAAATGTAATATAAACATAAAACACACCACAGAAATAAGACAATTAAAAAAAAATAAAATTAAAATAAACAATTATTTATATATTTAGAATTAACTATGAATTGTAAACGTACCTACAATAAACAACTCGATAAACATAATATAACATTTTACAGGAATTGTTGGGAATTCACCTTCAGCTCAAACACAACCCTGAATTCGTTTTTTGATGGTCTTTCTAACTTGTTGAAATATCCCTATGTCTCGGCGAATTAAAGCGAATGCATCTGATATACGATGCAAAGATCTTCCCTTAAAGTGACAGGAGTTTTTTAAACAAGTTCTTTCACATGTCCCCAGAAGTAGAGCTCTATGGGTGTTATATCTGCGGAACGAGACGGTCACGACCACCTCTTCCAATCCAGCGGAATGTTGTCGAACTGGAGCCGCAAAATGCACCGGTACTCATTCGTTTTGGAAATAAACGATCATTTCTCATGTTTAGAGGAAGTAAATCTGGAAGGTCATTTTGAAGTAAGTTGACATAAGATACATGATTCAGGGGTTAAAGTTCTATGGGGCCACTGATTTGATTGCCAACAATCCCTGCCCATATGTTTATGGAGAATTGGTACTGCTAATTGATTGGTCTAATCAAATTGGGATTTTCGTCACACCAAAAATGAAGGTTGTGAAAATTTGTAATACCCATTGTACTGAAACAAGCTTCGTCAGTAAATAACACTCTAGTCGAATAATCTGGATCATTTTTTTTTTTTTTTAAACCACTGACATAATTGCAGGGGTATGTAGTCTCGAGGTAATAATTCTTGAAATGAGTAAATTTGGTGTTCATGAAGTATCCCAATCTCGTTGGCAGTGGTTCTTGTACTAGTCGTTGATTCGTTTTTAACTCTATTTAAAATAAATTCCACTTTCGGACGTTGTCGATGCCCAATTTACTTCTTGAAAGGGAGTTTAATTAATATGTGGGAACTTAGGAATACTGTAAGTTCAGTTTAGTCACAAAATTATCCATACAATTGTAAATTCAGTCAATTAGGTATGAACATGGTATAGTTAAATCATTCCAACCTCCGATATTCAGGGATCCCACCAATAATATAAAAACAGAAATTTCTATACCCAAGAAATGGGCTTGTCAAAGCGAGGAATCGAGTTCAGGAGAAATCGCCGAAAAAAAGTAGTTTCTCCTTGGATTCCACACTGGCAGTTTTCTTAATTTTAGAGTCTCGGGATAATTTAATAATGGATAGTCTTTCCAAATTTTGTTATGAATTCGCGTTGGGTTCCCTAAATCTCGGATTGCGTGTAGATTAATTAATAATGTTTGTTCGAAACCGTTGTGTATTGTATTTGTTTGTTCGTTTTGTTTTTTTTGTTATTAAAAACCTTCCTCGAAGTTTTGGTGTTTTCTTGCTCGTCCAAATCAAGTGTCCATCAAGTGAGAGTGGGACACCCTGTATAACCAACACCTGGATTATACTCTTCGTGAGCGAGGTTCGGTAAGTGTCTAAAATCCATTCTCTGAACGTACAACATTTCTAAGTTCCCACATATTAATTAAACTCCTTTTTGAGAAGTAAATGGTAAACTCATCTGCAAGTTAATATCTTATGAGACTGTTCATATCATACATGGTTAAATGGTACATGGTACATGGTCAGGTTACAACTTTGACACCCTGTATCTAAGGAACGAACGAAATCGGACCTGTGTTGATATGAAAAAATAATCTGGTTTTTAGGTTAGGAATCAGCCCGAGCGTTGGCCCATGTTTTCTGAAACACCCTGTATATTGTATATATTACTTCCAATTGGATTATTTTGAGAACTAATTTCTCAGTCACTCCACAACAAGTCAATTTTGATTGGAAAGGAGACACATATTTTTTACAAATTCATCTCGTTTGCACTAACATTAAAAAAATTTTAAACATGGCCCCATGAGCGAAATGATATCATTTTAGAGTACCTTAATTATCTTTTCAACAAAACTTTTTTTTTTCAATTTGAACAAATGCTGAAAAAGATGTGCTATTCGAAATTCAGCTGTGTATAAAGAATAAACTCTAATTTAGCATTTCTTATGGGATTATTACCATGCCTACGATATTAAGACAAAATAAATAAAATTATGAAAAATATATATATTTATGATGGTTTTTTGGGCTGTTATTCCTTGGCCTATGTATATTTTAAATATAGCACAGTCTTAAAACCACTGATATGTATCTACTTCATAGTTAGAGTAAAAAATTATTAGATCTCATAATAATGCTGGTGAAAATATGTCCATAGAATAATATGTAATATAAGCGGTTAACATTTTTAATACCAGTAACTTGATTCTTATATCACTAAAATAAAAATACTAACCATTTTATCTTTTTTTAGAAGTTCTGCATTTTTTTGACTAAGTTGTTTTTGTAAACTTGCAATTTGCTCTTTTAATTGTGTCATGGCAACGACATGGTCAGAGCTGTTAGGATCAAGGTCAGCTCTTACCAACACGGGAGCAGAATTATTACGTGCAACTTTATTTGGCGGAGCATCTTCCGGAGGCGGTATTTTGGTAACATCTGGTCGATTCGGTCTTTTGTTGTGACTACGTAGCCTAAAATTTTAATAACAATTATTACTAAATTCAAAACTATAGATCTATGTGTACAAAATTTAGATTCAATTCTCTCAAAAAATAAGAGTGTTGGAATTCAATGTATAAGATGTTTTAGAAAAAGGTGCCGCCGGTACAACACCAAAAAAATAAGAATCTTTTCATTGGATCATGGGCCTATTGTTTGTTTTTGAAATATAAGGGCGAGATTATTTTTTTTTAATTTAATTTTTGGACATACCTTTTTCAATAAAAAATGTATTGCATTGAAATTTGGGACAACAAAGTTTTTGAGTATGTTAAATATGTATGTCAGTATTATCAGTTCTCCACTATTTTGTAGAAGTTGCTAGCAAAGAGCTTTCCCAACATTTGAAAATATTACTTTTTTATATTTCCTGCATTGTATTGTAACAAACATTAAATATGTGACAAACTTTCTACTTGTGAACTCGGATGTCACAATATGTTACATAATACAAAATTTTATTTAACACAAAAAAATACTCCTCTATCTGTGGGTATTTCTTAAGTAATCTAATAGACTAAATTTTTATCCAACACATCTAATAGGAGTTGACTTCCTTGTAACAAATTTTTATTACACACCTAAATATCTCAGTTGAAGGCATTTTTTGACCACGTAATTCTGACAAAAAAATAAAAAATAATGTTTCAGTTTTTGTTTCTCCAGTTTTAATAGCGAACAAATCATGTCTCTTGAATTTTTTTATTTGTGATTTATGAACATATAAAAGGATTACTCCTGTCAAAATGTGAACTTCTCAAGGAAGTCATACTATAAATAATACTTCTACGTTATATAAATTAAACTATAGAAAAAAGAAAAATAAAATTATATCTACTTTAATAAAATGTAGTTAATAAAAAACCAAATTTTTAGGGACAAAAAGTAGTTGTCTTTTGGGTTGAATTTTCTCAAAAAAAATATATTTTCAGGAATTCCAGTAAGAGTATCTTTTTTGTGCAAAATGTGGAACTAGAAAATATTTGAAAATGTTATTAGGAAAGATTGTAGCTATGATTTCTACCATGATGATTGAAATCAAATAAGGGCTCTTACACACGGACGGTATTTTGCCGATCGGTATTTAAAACGATCGGCAAAACAACGACTAAAATTTTAAATTGCACATAGTTAAATACATCTTTACGCCTCTTTCACACGGACGTTGTTTTGCCGGTCGGTAGCCGACCGTCAGACCTTACGGCGATGTTTCTGTGTGTATTTGACTATGTGCAATTTAAAATTTTAGTCGTTGTTTTGCCGATCGTTTTAAATACCGATCGGCAAAATACCGTCCGCGTCCGTGTGAGAGGCGTTACGCCTCTTTCACACGGCTGTTGTTTTGCCGGTCGTAAAGCTCTATTTAACTATGTGTAATTTAAAATTTTAGTCGTAGTTTTGCCGATCGTTTTAAATACCGATCGGCAAAATAACGTCCGTGTGAAAGAGGCGTTACACACAGAAACGTCGCCGTCAGGTCTGACGGTCGGCTACCGACCGGAAAAACAACGCTCGTGTGTAAGAGGCGTTAAGTAATAACACTGATGTATTTATCATCCTCAAAAACATCTTTCGTCAGTTTGGGGCAAAATCTCTATTACCAACTTTATATTATATGCTATAGATTTTTGAAAAATGTAAAAAATATAGTTTTAATATTAATATGGTTGAAACAAATACTTATTACTATTCAAACTGTTTGTTATTTTACTGAAACACATTTTTTCACATCCATAAATATATAAATGAATTCAATAATCCAACATTTTAATATTAAATAGCACATATAATTGATTTTGATGGTCTTTTGGTATAAATAGCACTTAAATTATAAAAATTGTAAGTAACAGTTAATAAACATACAGCATGGGCTCTTGAAAGCGAAACAGAGCGAATAACTCTCTGGAAAATTATTTTTCCGAAAAAGGTCGAGACTATCGATTTTTTACTGAAGGGGGACATGTTTTCACATAAATTTCTTGCTACAGATTCTACCTCCCTAGGGAGGGAGGGCAATCCCCCAAAAATCTTAATAGGGAAGGAGAGTTAAGTGACAAATCTTTAAAAGGTATTCTAATTCTCTATACAACCGTGTTTTATTTTTTGAATTTGACCGATGAGTTTCGGAGATACAGGTTGTTAATAAAAAAAACCTTACTTTTTACAAATTTATTTGTCCCTCCTTCCCTATTCAGATTTTTGGGGGTAGAATCTGTAACAAGAAATTTATGTAAAAAGATTTCCCCCTTCGATCAAAAAGCGACCTGTCTTCTCATTTCTCGCAAAAATAATTTTTCTGAGTTATTCGCTTAATTTTGTTTTTCCAAAAATCGGGCCTAACACAAATTTTATGGGTTTAAAATTAAGTAAAAATACACAGAATAAAAACCTAAATTTGTTGAGCGTCATATTGTTTATAACAAAAGAAAAAAAAATAATTGCTCTTTTTTCAGTTTTTCACTTATATCTCAAAATAAGCCTCTAATCGACATGAGGTATACTTATTGATTTTGTTCCTGAGGAAAGCTCGCAAAATTTTTTTACATAGCAAAATTAACGGTGAAGAAAAAAATGCGCAAAATTTTCAACATAAATAAATAGAACGAATTTGACTGAAATTGGATTAAACTACAGGAAAAGATAATTGTTGGTGCTCAACAAATACCCGCAATCCGGACCCGCAATTTCAACGGCCTACTGCAAAATTATAAATAAGAAAATGCGAGTGGGTATGTCTTCTGCCCAAGTTAAGATATCAAAGTTTGGTAAAAAAGGATCGAAAGGTAATTACATTGTCTTGTGTTTGCTTAAATTTCAGATTTTTAAGTTGCAAAATAAAAAAGTTATTAACAGAAAACCAAAAAAAAAAACGGTAACTAGGGTCCTTATCTCAGCGGTTTTTTAATATAAGATTTCAAACCAAATAGTGCTTAAAAAACATAAACTTAAAAAATAAGCGTCTTGATCCGACCAATAGTAGCCGAGATAACTTTTTTTCTTAAAAACGGTATTCCGGCTGTTCTATTTAATGGTTTGTAATAAACTTGGGCTCGTTGTAAAGTAGACTTCCTTTATAATCTGAATTTTTTTTAATGGATTCGACCAAGAAATGACCAAGTAAACGCCGCGTTTTAAAGACAAAGTGATCCGCGCGGTGGCCCACGCGGCTGGGCGGTAGCTAGGAGAGGGGAGCGCTGTGACGTAATAGTGCCCATGCTGCACTCGGCTTCTCAAAATTCTTACTTAACAAATGGATTGTGGCATTTAGAAAGCAGCTACCGGGATGCTTTTTTTTTAAATCAACTTATTTTTTCTCGGTCTTTCGAATGGTGTAAGCAAAAGTCTGTGAAAGTCATCGCCATTCATTGAATAAAATATGGTAGAATAGAATGTAACAGTTCTTTTAAATACTATAAAATGTAGTACTTATATGTAATGTTGATATTGTAACATTCAATAATATTTTAGACACAATTTACGCAATAAATGTAACAGTTAATTTTAAGAGAATATTTTATACGTCAACCTCTTCTGAGCACAGCAAATAGAATACTGATCATTTTTTTCAAAGAAACGATTGACTTTTGTTTTTAAATAAGTAAAAAGACCTTCTTACATTTCAAAATATCGAAAGCATAATGAATGAAATTACAAAAGAAAACGTAAAGTCAATAAAAATGTATTTTTCGGGGTCTGGCGATGACTTTCAGACTTTTGCTTACTCCATTCAAAAGAGCGGAAAAAAATCAACTTTGTAATTTTGCAGTAGGACGCCATTTTGAAATTGGGGATCCGGATTGCTGGTATTTGTTGAGCACCCCAACAGTTATCTTTTCCTGTAGTTTCATCCAATTTCAGTCAAATTCGTTGTTTTTATTTTTGGAGATATCAGTGAAAAACTGAAAAAAGAGCAATTATTTTTCTTTTTCTTTTGTTATAAACAATTGACGTTCGACCTCTACAAATACACAAATTTAGGCTTTTATTCTATTTTTTTTTTACTTTATGATTTTTGAAACAGGCATGTGCTTGGTCTAATTCGCCCGCATTATTATAACAAACTACTTAGAAACGTCGAACACGAACAGACATTTAAGAAATCGCTATGTTGGGTCAAAATGAGAACACCGGTCGCAGTACTTGTTGAATGTAGGAATTGTATTAAGAAAAAACAATCTTTAACACCCTTTATCTCAAAAACAAAAAAAATGGACCTATGGTTGTTACAAAAATATATTCTTTTTTGATGTCCTATCAGTCCCTAAATTTATGGCATCTTTGTTCAGGACACCCTGTATTTGTACATCTATAGATTTATCAAGACATCATTTTTAGCCTTTACCTTTTCGACTTTCAGTATTTTATTATAATTAATTATTATTGCATTATTCAGTTTCCTTTTTATTAAAAGTAAGTAACAGACTTCAAGTTGGATATTCCTTTAATGAAGTGGGTAACAGTGAATAAAGATTTAGTATCAGGTCCAAATAAAAGTAAGATGAACAAAATAGTGTTTGCCTAAGAATTTAAGAGCGAGTTGTTACTAATTTACGATTTTCATTTGCTGTTTTAAGGCAGTTTTTTGAAAACATGTAGATAATAAATAATTGGCAATTGATATGGACATGAAATAGAAATTCGACCAACATTGCGGAACATGATAATTCCTGAATATAGTGATAGGGCTATGAGATAATAATGTTGAGAACAAATTACCATGGTAAATTTGTGGTAAAAAGAATAAGATAAATATGTATAGCAATTATAATAATTTGTTTTTTTTTCTTCAATATGCATTGTGATTTTGACAAAACTATACACATTATAACAACTCTAGAAAAAATCGTTTATTAGCGGAATACAAAACTGCCATGTGTTTGTCATCTGGGCTGTCTAGATGCCAAAAATCGCTGTATGTCATTGCTCTTACAGTATCTAACATTTTGTACCCCTACAAAAGCAAAATATTAGAAAAGGTGAGCAGCTGATGTCATACAATAGTGATTATTTTACTGTATCTAGAAATGTATCCATTAAGGGGGATCGGGTGCTTCATCGGGGGAGTGAAGCGAGACGTAGGATGCCCTATACTTACCGTGTTATAAAATCATTGCCGTCAATGCAGAGAAAAATATTCTGTATGACTAGAATGTAAGTAGATTGAGATACTTGCTTGTATAAAATGCATAAGATTGTTATATGTGCTATGATGCAAAGTATAAATATTTGATTGTTTATATGCTGCTGTTTTTTTTTTCTTCTTGTATTGAAAGTTTATTGTACTTTATAAATAAAAAAAGATTTCAAAAAAAAACATACTTCATTTGTAACTTTCCCATTCTATTTTATTACTCCAAATTGAATTACCCAAATAAACACAAGTCAAATGTAATCCATTTCTAATGACTAATTTGTATATCAAAAAATGTATTTAAATTTCCCACCACTTTACCTCAGTCATACTCTACTGTGCTGTTGCCGTTACTCCTTTGCGTTTATTATTTAGTGAAAGACAAGTTAGAACTTTTTATGTTTTATAATTTAGTCCTCTGTGAAATGTGCGGTAACTTACTTTTTTCTTTTTCTCATCTATTAATTAATTATTCAGGTAAATGTCTAATTTTTTCGTCTTACCATTTGCATTTTTGCACCCGTAATTCGATTGTAAGGGTATGTATCATAGCATTTCGCAGAAGAACCTATGTTAAATAGTCAATTGTTTGACATTAATTAAAAACAAAACCAAATCGATAAATAATTCGAGAATAAATTACAGAATTTGATTTCGCATGGCAAAAATAATATATCTAATAATTATACGAAATTGGCTGCATTGTTTCATAGCACCCGATCCTCCTTAAATAGTTAAAATGCGAGTAAGGATTTATCATAACATTTTAAGATATTTTTTAAAATACCCTTCTCTTCTAAATACTCTTCACTCTAATGAAATATGTAGCCTAAACCTTTTTGTTTTACTGTTGATGTGGATGAAAATAAAAGTTCTTCATGATTTCCATAAATACAGATGAATTGTCAATTGTCAAAACTCTTTAATTTTAAAATTTCTTTAAGCATTTTTGTTGAATTTATATTATTTTAAATTTTTAATTATATAATATATATAAGATGTCGTAACTTTTTCTTAGTGTGTAAAATTATTAAGTAAGTCGTCACACCTTATGCACGGAACGGATTAATCTTGAAATTATTTTACAGGTATTATAAGCTGAATATGCAACTGATTTTATTTATTTTACAAACTTGTAGAAGTAACATGTTTAAAATAATTTTAGAGATACATACATTATTTTGTACAATCTCTATATTTAGATACCCTGTTCGATTCTAAGATTAATATACTACAGATTTTCAACAGATTTCTAAACATTTTTTTACATGTTTTTGGAAATATAAATATTTTAGAATGCTTTTCAATTTAGTTGTTTTATTTATTTATTGACACATATTCAATTTAATTTTCAATGTATCTAAAGTTTTATTAAAGTGAAATATATGTCAAATATAAATTAACTTCAGATTATAGTTTGTTCAGTAATCAGTAATAATTTGAGATTTGAATAACAGTAATAACAAATAAGAGTAAGGGCCAGTATTGTAATAAAAAAATATCCTTTAAATTTAATAATGAATTGCAAAGCATTGTCACAAGAATATGTTACTAGTGTGATTATGATATCAACCCTAAATAAATTATACTGAAGATCTTGTAATGATCAATTGTTGACAAACTTTTCTTAATAACGTTTTGTCGTTATGTCATACACAAAAAGGGCACTGTATTAGCAAAAAAATATGAAATCAAGTAAAAAATCAAAATAGGCCTAAGTCATTGAAATTTTGCATGTTTGTTCAGTTTTTCATCCTGAGAAAGTTTTCTTAATAACATAATTTTGCTCTATCTCATACAAAAATGGCCCTTTACTGGTGAAAAAAATCATAATACTTTAAATTTCCAATGCTTCCTATATTTTTTGAATTTTAAATAATCATGGCAGATCTTATTTTACAAACAAGCAGGGCTGAATCCCAGAAGGCCATTTTTCAACATCAACACTTTTTTTCTTACATCAGTCGTTTCGTATATCGTTATAGCTGTTTTACATTGACAATATATTGATCAATTAATTCATGAAGTCGTTTCATTAAGAAATTAGACAAGTGTAATGCACTAAATCTACTGTCAAATAACTTCATGGATTTATTCATCAAGTTCTTGACGAATTAGAACATGTTCTAATTTTTGTCAATTCCTTTGTGAAGTTTAGAAGTACCAACCCAACAGATTTCCAGCCTCAGATCAGTAATGAGGTTATGTTATTGGAATATGTAAATAATTGTGTGCGTCGTACTAGCTTTGCATTGTTTTTCCTGATTTGTTATTTACAAAAACTAATATTTATATAATATGTGTCAGAACGGTACCGCTGTTGTATCACTACAATAATTATGAGTGGAAAGGTGACATTTTTTAAATATTTGCTTCTTTGATTTGTTGGTAGAGCTGATTTATGTGTCAAAAAACTTGACAAAGTCTGTAGCAGTGTAAAACCACACTGTTTACCAATAAATTCGTAAATTAATTCATGAACTTTGTCAATTTATTCATGAATAAATTGTCAATGTAAAACAGCTATTAGACACCTATATAATTAAACAAACATAATTTGAAGCATTTTTATAAGTATTATTATTTTAAAACAGGTTTTTATCAGTTCAAATTGGCAACCAAGCAATTTCTTTTTTATTGGTGCTACATGCAGAAATTATCTGAAGCCAGTTCCATTAAATCAACTACTTTTTAAATTTTAACATTACACATTTCAATAAACAAAAATAAAATTTAACTCACTTTCCCTCCTTATGTTTATTTTTATGCAATTGAGATATTTTCATATGTGCCCTACGTTCAGCATCTCCTTGTTTAGTTTTAGCTAAAGCCCTTTTATAAGACAGAGTGCACAACCAACATAACAGCTTTCCATCCACCTAAAACCACATAAATTACCAAGATGTTTCTGGTAACCATTTATTAAAATTACCTTTTTATCATCATCTTGTCTATCAAAAGCGCATTTTTGTTTGCACTGTTCACAGTTGACGGGAGGGCCATATTTAATTTCAGAATTTGTACATCGTTGACACTTATTTCCTATAAATGCTGCAATAATGTTACAATACTCACAAGCGGTTGGTTTTCCATAAGATTTTACATTCTGCTCACACTTTTTACAAATAGTACTTGTACTTCCTTTAGACGTTTGTTGAAATTCTGATCGACAATAAGTGCATTTCACCACGGGAAATGCCCCCCGACATTCCTAGTTGAACAAAATAAACATTCTTACATTCGCCAAATGGTCGCACCCAAAAAACTATGTTAACTTAAACTTAATCTCCAGTTCCTATCTACACATTATAATATACATTATTCTCGTAAAAAAAAACGTTATTCGAATAATCCTCACTGCAAAATTGTTAGGTTAACAGAAAAAAACTTACTTTACACAGCTGTTGCCCGGCAGAAAGTTCCTCGAAAGGGTGGCGAGCGAAACAACGGGAACACGCGAATAATAATGGAGCACTCATATTGACCAAGATGTATTAAAAAAGTTTTTAAAACTAAAACTAGTAACCGTCTCGTTAAGTCACAAAATGCCAAAATTGTCACTTAACACACAAAAGTTAACTGTACCTCGCAGCATCTGATTGGTGCTGTGTAGGTTGGTGACGGATGACTATAGCCATAGAAAATATTCTTCTTCTTCTTCTTCTTCTTTTTTTTGGCCTTTACCCAAAGGGTATTTAGCCAGCTTCTTATGTCAGTTCAGAGCGAACAGCCGAGCTGAGCAGACCTGTTTGTTTGTGAGGTGAAGTGATAGCAACGAGCAAAATCTACCTGCCTTTTTTAAGGCTACCTGGAAAGAATCCCTTTCTTTCCTTTTAATCACCGACCTAATCCCCAGCCTAAGCATAGAGGCCGTCGGCATCTTTGTTGCAGGCAACTCATAAAATCCTACCTACACCACCGAAAATTCCGCATCCAAATCCAAGATTCCCTTTCCACCACCCGTCCCATGGAGGCCGGTGTCCCCCAGGGCACCGTCCTGTCCCCACACCTATACACCATTTACAACTCCGACATCCCACATCCCCCCAACACCAACATATACTTATACGCCGACGACCTGACAATCACATCCCAATCCGTAGATCCTAGATATTCCGTCTACCTCCTCCAAAGCTCCTTAGACCAACTTGAAACCTGGTGCAACAGGTGGAAAGTCAAAATTAATCCCAACAAAAGTTCGGCTATCCTTTTTACCAAACGAAAAATCCCACAAAACCTCGACAGACTGACACTATCCCAGGAACCCATCTCCTGGAATCGACAAACACGATACCTGGGCGTGACGATGGACCAGCGTCTCACGTGGAAACCGCACATCGTGGAGACGGTGGCGCGAGCGAAGACCACCAGGGCTAGGCTCTATCCCTTACTCAAAGGTGGAAACACCCTCAGTTTAAGGAATAAGCGAACGCTTATCAAGGTGGTACTTCAACCGCAGCTAACCTACGCCTCCACGGCGTGGGGTCACGCGGCAAAAAGCCACTTAAAGTCATTACAGGCTGTGGAAAACATAGCCCTCCGCACGGCCACCGACGCGCCCTGGTACGTAAGAAACACTGACATATTACGAGACTTACAATACACAAACGCTACACAGACAATAAGACAAAACGCGGAGAAACGATTTGACGTAGCCGCTAGACATGACAATCCC